CAAATGTGCACTCTGGATACTCCTAGAGTTCAAATTATTTAAACTCTACTGTATGGGACATGCAAAAAAATTAAAAGTAGCTTCAAGGAAAACGTCAATTGTTTTCAAAGAACTTAATTATTTTTTCTTCCGATAATCTTGATATATTTTTTCATTTTATATGAACCTTTTTTTGAAGCTTTAGCAGAGCTCTTAGTTACAGTGACAGCAATTTGAGACTTGTAACAGAGAACTGAGGAGCTAAAGGGATGGTCCGGTGTTCTGAAAAGGAAACCCAGTTACCCAGTGTCTTAGCAGCATATGACAAGAAACCTTCTCACCACACACATTTGAAGGCAACTATATAAGGGGAAGAGAAGGATTAGCAGAAAGAACCATAAAATCAAATTAAGGATAACAATGACATAAGAAGATGCCTGTGGCTGATCATATTTGAAAAACAGGTTTTAGCAGCGTTCTTTTAATGCTTGTAAGAGATGTATCGTGAATCCCCTTGCCTTGGCTGAACCTGCAGCCTTTCACCTTCAAGCTGTTGGCGTCTCTCAGTTTGCAATACGATAGGTGGATTTTTCCCTCCTCCCCACTGAAACAGGGTGAGCATGAAGCTTAATGGCATTTCTAGACACCTGATCACAAAATCCTACTGCTACCTGAGGGGAGGGAGGAGATCTGAGCACAAGAATGGGAAGAAACGAAGTGTCTGTGGAGCTGCCGCCATCTGTTAGAAGAATCACCACTCCAACCTCTGCTGTGACCTTCCACGACATCAAAGTAACAGCCAGTGCACTAACCAACACTAGTTGTCCTGCTAGATATCTCTGCCCATCTCTTATGAAAAGAGTTAAACATACTCATTCATGCTCAGAACACTTATCTGCCACGAAGAAAAGGTAAGAGAAAAAAATGGGATATGCAAAGATGGAGGTGGGCTTTAAGGAGGAGTCAAGCAGGAGGAACAGAGGACAGTACGAATACAGAGCTCTGTCAAAGCAGCAAACAGGGGAAGGGGAATACAAGAGAGAAGGGGAAGTCCTGTGGAGCTAAAATGGGTATAAAGGACAAGGCGGCATATAGAGATCCACTGTACAAAAGGGAAAAGAAAACACTGAGACTGCAGAAGTAAGAAGATGAGACGAAGACTCATGAGACATTTGTGGAGGAAGTTGAAAGACACAGGCAGCATTAAAATGCACCGAGGACGGCCCTCAGCTGCAGTAGTTACTAGTCTTAAAAATATTCTTCATTCTATTTACGCTTTTAAAATCTCTCACTCCCGATTTAAATAACGACAACCACCCTCATCTTTTCACTTTCTCTGCAGAGCGTGCTAGGGCATAAGTGGCTGGAAATGCTGCATGAGTTTCACGTTTCAGAAAGGCAAAAGCAGATCATAATTTGACAAAACCCAAGCATTTTAAGAAAGCGTATTTTAAGTGTAGGATTGGACCAGTAGGGCCATATCACTTAACAGGAATTATTTCTGATACTGACTCAGGAACACTTCCTAATACCAGACTGCTTCACGTGAGAAATCGCAAATCTGTTTCTATTATAAACAGACCTTGCGTCGCCCGTCCCACCTAGAAGCTTCTGAGTCTGTGGACAAATTTCTACCCTTTTATCAAACTGCAGTTGAGGACCAGAGATATGAAGCTCATACAAGTTTCATGTAAACCAGCAGCAAGGCTAACGCAAGACAAACACAAGGCAATGCCACTATTAAGAGCAGAAGCTGCACGACAGCTACCAACGCCGGTGGCTCAAATAAAGCCCTGGCCAGGCAGCCCAGGCTGCCACCAGCCGCAGAGCTGTGTTGTCCTGGGTTCAGCCAGCGCTCAGCCTTCCTCTTTCATCCCGTACCATAAACGACATGAAAGTACATCTTGGTACGCACGACACAAATCACGGCAGGGAGGGGTCAGGCTTCACTGCTTTGCTACTCACAGAACAATTTGTTTAGTATTTACATACTGCGGCATGGATCAGTTTAGCAGCATTGTCCTGTGGCTAACCCTCAATATAATCATATTTTATGGAGTTGGCAAACAGCCTACACAGTGACGCCAAAGGCAGTTGTGATTAAGTGGTAATAGCAATGTAATCTGATAAATAAAAGCTCTAAACAAAACCTTATTCATATACCAGGGAAAATTCAGACCTTTCCAAACTCTAAACACCCATTTTGACCCACTGCCACCTATACTGTTCAGTAACCTTCAGCGTAAAGCTCTCAAAGTAAAAACTAACAGGGGAAGCAGCAACAAGAAGTCAGAGTAATATATACAATGCACACCTTGAAATACATGAAACGTCATCTGCAGTTCATACTTACAATTGATAAAGAATGGTCGTTTTTCCTGCATTATCCAGACCAACAATGATTACTTTGTGCTCTGAAATAAAAATACCACTAGTAAATCACACAGTTAACTCTGCTATCACGATAACAACAGTGTTATGAAAGAAGGTTAGTGTTGCATTTTTGACCGATTTTGTAAGCGAACACTGCCAAACTTCAGCTGCCACATATCATGGGCCATACTTAAAGTTCATTTGTCTGTGGAGGTGTACAAACCCGTGTACTGTTCTGAGTAGGTAAGCGACTGTCGATTTTTCCCCATCTGCACATCTACAGGAATAATTTCTGCGAGATTACCTGGGGATTTTTTCCTTCTCTAAACCGCTAGAGCAACCTCACACTGGAATCCCTTCCCAAGCTTCTACACACATTTGCAGATTGTAGCAGATTGTACTCTCTTATTCCCCTCAACTACAGTAGTTCTCCGGAACACATGCTTACACGTGTTAAATCTTCATTTCCAAGGCCGTACTTTTTTTATGGCCTGCAACATCTCAATCTCTTTGCAAAGAGTTGTTAAAAGCCACAACAACGCCGATTTGTACTGTAAGCAGGGTGATCCACCTGTCTCCCTCAGCGTTCTCTTTTCCTTTCAGCAGGTTTGGAACCTGGAGAACAGAATTGCCTACAAATATTTTACAGTATGCATTCACCCAACTTAGATTTAGATGAACCAACGAGTACTACACAAAACTGCTCTGACACATATGTGAACACATTTTGGAGCTCAATGCCAGAAGCAATTATTGTTTCTATTTAGCACCTTCTTTCCTATACATCACAAAATTGAATTTGAATCCTACAGCTGGTGTTGTCAAGCACATTCAAATTTATGATTTCCAGGACGAATAAGCGCTGCCTGCTCTCAGCTACATTACACAACTTTTGCTTGCACAAATAACCTTGGCTTCAACGGGACTATTCATGCAAATAAAAGCTTTGTGAGAAGGGGCTTTCTTCCCCCCCTCCCCAGTGGTCCACAAGGGCAACAAAAAGCCATTACAAGTCTGCCCAAGCTTCAGACAACCAGAGATCAATTCCTTCTGTTAGCAAAGTACACTCACATTGATTTATCACAGAGGAGAGAGCGAGGGGGCAGGGGTCAGGTAAGTGGGGTTTCTTGGTTTTGATTTTATCAATATTGTGTGGTTTTGCAGAGTTGTCTTATATACCATCAAATATAAATTCCAGTTTTAATAACTTTGCATAACTACACAATATTGTAAAAATATCTGCTTACCTGACCCCACATAACTAGGAACTTTTGTTTCTGGTGTGATGTTGCCAGCATAGTAGATGTTAGGAAATCAGCTGGAACAGAAGACCTGAGGTGGGGCTGGATGCTACAAGACAAAAATATTTTGTTGGCTTTGCACTGAGTGTTAATGGGCATATCATCGGGATGTTCAACATGCATGTGTGAACGTATTTAAGTCCACTCAAAGTCAAATTTAAAAGACCTTATAAACACGGATATGAGCGACAGCATGCGTTTTACAGCCACAACTCTCATTAAAACCTTACTGTAAGGAGACAGGCGTTACAAATCTGAAGTTACAAGTAACATTTACTCCACAAATGAGCAACTTTGCCAGATATCGGGGTTGACCACTTAAGACCATTAACAAAGCATACTCTGCAGATGACAAGATGAGACTACACGCTACAACGCAACACAGCTGTATTCTTTCGGCACGCGTTAATAATTTAACATCCACCTTTCAGGAGATGAGCTTTCCAGTGACTTAGAGGAGGAAAAAAAAAGGTTTAAACCCCCCCCCTCAACTTCTCTGGCGGCAGCTCGCCCTCCCGGGCCACCCCCCCCGGCCGGGGCTGCGGGAGCACCGCCGCCTCGCCCTTTAGCCCCGGTGGCCAAAGCCGTGCCGGTTTGCAAGGGCGGGCACGCAG